ACCACCCCCCCCCTCCACACTCACTTTCCTCTCCTAATTGTGCGGCGCAAATCCCGAGCAAAAAAACCCCGCGTGTCTGGGAAATCGGTACCCTACTAGAATTACACATTTTTACCTGCTCAGTACCTAGTTTTACTTAATAAGACGTTGAAAATTTTGAGTTTCACATGTCAAGATTTTTCGAATGCAAGACTTTTAATGTCTTGATAATAATGACTCTAAATAATATTACGATTTTGATAGATCAGTTACAACGTTATTTGGTTTCTTACCTCAAGGTCTTAGTAACTTAAAAAAGCCAAAAATGTCGGATAGAACTTTGTAATTCTAATGTAGCGACAAGATAGCTTCGATGACACCAGAACTTTGCGTTAACTCGTCTACTTTTGTTGTTTGCTGCATTAATTATTGTAAGGTAAGCTGATGGGTCGTGACTGGCCTCTGTGGTGAAGAGATTAGACGCTCGCTGTCGTATGCAGGAGACCCTAGTTCGGTCCAAGAGTGGGGAGAATGTCGATTGAGTATAGCGGTTTTTCTGATGAAATGGCATACCCATCTCTGTCTCGGTTAGCCCTGACAAACCCGCCTCCTAAAGTATCTAAATTGTGTCTACAAGGGCGTTAAAACATATATAAAAAAACAGGCAAGAGGTCAATTTAAGAAAAGGGAAGTTTTTTGGGGTTTAAAAAAAAATAAAATACCATGTGCAACTTATCTGGATTCTTTGGGCCAACAAAAATGTCAACTCCCTTATATGACATGAGGTTTTGTATAATTATTGTTGTGTAATTTGCTTGTCAACGAGATATCTTCTGAACTCTATTCATTTCTTCTGCTGTTTTTGTTGTAATCTCAGAATACTCAGATGTCAAAAGGAACTATGTTTCTTCCCGTATTCTAACACTAACAGTGATAATTACATTTATATAGCGCATGTCCGCGTTTTGATAATAATAAAGATCATTTCTATAGCGCTCACTCCCGTGTAAACACAAGTTCTATGCACTCTACAACTATTATTACCTCAACAAACTCGGAAACATTCTCGGCTTCTCGGGAAACTTGCAGTGTAAAGCTGCGGGTTGTCTTACTTTGTCCCTGAATCAAATAGCTATTAGTTTGTCCATATTTTTCTATTTACCTAATAAAACCCAAAGGAGGTGGTTTCGTAGACGTTGTGACAGACCCACCTTCATGGGCACTTGGCAGAAAATTGTATCACAGGTCTCAAAGTCAAATTACCCGGGCACCGCTGGGGGTAGAGTCTGGGCGAGGTAGGGACGCATCAAATAGTTTACCACCGGGGGACGCATCAAATAGTTTACCACCGGAACGCTGGGACGCATCTTAATAGTTTACCACCGGGACGCATCAAATAGTTTACCACCGGGGCGCATCAAATAGTTTACCACAGGGACGCATCAAATAGTTTACCACCGGGACGCATCAAATAGTTTACCACAGGGACGCATCAAATAGTTTACCACAGGGACGCATCAAATAGTTTACCACCAGGACACATCAAATAGTTTATCCCCGGGACGCATCAAATAGTTTATCCCCGGGACGCATCAAATAGTTTACCACCAGGACACATCAAATAGTTTATCCCCGGGACGCATCAAATAGTTTATCCCCGGGACGCATCAAATAGTTTACCACCAGGACGCATCAAATAGTTTACCACCGGGACGCATCAACTATTTGACCCCCAGAAGGTTTCAAGTAGAAAACATGCATGATAATGCAGCTGATCAAAGAACATGAACGGTTCTTAGCCACCGGAAGCTGTCACGAGCCTGAGTTATGGAAGCGCACCGCTACCTCAGATTTACAACTTTATGTC